CCTCATTTATAAAATGCTTTAAAAAAAACAAATAGTACAAACTGATACTGATATCAACAGCAATATATTTGGCATCCCTGTATATATATATATATATATATATATATATATATATATATATATATATATATATATATATATATATATATATATATATATATATATATATATATATATATATATATATATATATATATATATATATATATATATATATATATATATAACCATCCATCCATCATCCATCCATCCATCCATCCATCCATCCCACCATCCATCCATCCATCCATCCATCCTGCCATCCATCCATCCATCCATCCATCCAGCCATCCATCCATCATCCATCCATCCATCCATCATCCATCCATCCATCCATCCATCCATCCCGCCATCCAGCCATCCATCCATCCCGCCATCCATCCATCCATCCATCCATCCATCCATCCCGCCATCCAGCCATCCATCCATCCCGCCATCCATCCATCCATCCATCCATCCTGCCATCCATCCATCCATCCAACCATCCATCCATCCATCCATCCATCCAACCATCCATCCATCCATCCATCCATCCATCCAACCATCCATCCATCCATCCAACCATCCATCCAGCCATCCATCCATCCATCCATCCATCCATCCAACCATCCATCCATCCATCCATCCAACCATCCATCCATCCATCCATTCAACCATCCATCCATCCATCCATCCATCCAACCATCCATCCATCCATCCATCCAACCATCCATCCATCCATCCATCCATCCAACCATCCATCCATCCATCCATCCATCCAATCATCCATCCATCCATCCATCCAACCATCCATCCATCCATCCATCCATCCATCCATCCAACCATCCATCCATCCATCCATCCATCCAGCCAACCATCCATCCATCCATCCATCCATCCAACCATCCATCCATCCATCCATCCATCCATCCAACCATCCATCCATCCATCCATCCATCCAACCATCCATCCATCCATCCATCCATCCATCCATCCATCCATCCATCCATCCAACCATCCATCCATCCATCCATCCATCCATCCATCCAGCCAACCATCCATCCATCCATCCATCCATCCAACCATCCATCCATCCATCCATCCATCCAACCATCCATCCATCCATCCATCCATCCAACCATCCATCCATCCATCCATCCATCCATCCATCCATCCATCCAACCATCCATCCATCCATCCATCCATCCATCCATCCATCCATCCATCCGTCCATCCATCCATCCATCCATCCATCCATCCATCCATGTCATAAGAAAAATATAACAAACTGAAAGGCACTAAAACTAACAGACTGCAAATTATGATTCCCAGATAGACGGATGGCTTCCATTTCCTCACTATCATTGATTATTATCCCCCTTCACATGCTGGAAAATCTAATATAGAGCTTTTTCCACACATATCTTTGACAAATACTGAATACTGAAGGTTTTATTTTCATTCATCGATTCCCTGATCTTCACTGTATTGTTTGTGCTTTGAATCTTGTACGGTTTATAATTAAATTTTAAGTGCATCGGCTGCAAGTCCGGCTCTGCAGCTGAGTTGGCTGTTACAGCTATTTCTGAGTCTAGCTGGTTTACAAAAGACTAAAGTATAACATTACATGTTTTATTTTCTTGTAAAATATTTCTGAGATTTTATTGCTTTTGGCATATCCCAGTTAATCTGTTTTATCTTTAAATCTGAAGCTGTCACTGCTTCTGTGTCTGTGCTCTGCTGAAAAACATGTGACTTTAAGGTGTCTACTAATATAATGATGGTAGAGAAACTGTGTCTAGAACTGTCACAGTTCGGTAAATTTCTGTTAAATAAGAAAACGACAAATATGAGTCATTATCTTTCAAGGAGCTGAGCTTAATCTGTCGGGGTTCTGCCCTCTGCTTGGGCTTATTTTTAGTTTCTTTGTGTTCTGTGTCTTTATAGTTTATTTCTACCAGTGAAATAAACTACTTTAGTTACCCTCTGTTGACCCCTTGTGCTTCTTTCCTTTCCCCTTGGTTTGCTCCTAGTTGGTCTTTCCGAAACCTGCTCCCAATCGACTGATTATCCTGCCTTGGTTCAGTTTCCCCATATATACACCACCCCTGCAGTCACTCAGTGCTGGTTTGTTGTTTTGTTGCTTACTTATCTCTGGTTCCCCACATTAGTTTTCTTTGACGTTTTTGTTTTTTTTGGGTCTTTGTATTTTTGGTGTTTGGATTTTACCTCAGTTGTCTCATTAAATCTGCAAGACTCACCTCTGCCTCCTGTTCTCTGCATTTCGGTCCTCAAAAACCTCCACTCAACCGTGACCAAATCGCTTTTTTTAACTAGTAAAGAGGAACACAACATTTAAACGCAATGTTTTGTCAAATTTAATGGCTCATAATACTAACCTGTGCAGTATAAACACTCTGCTGCTGTTGCTTTTTCTAAAGCTGTGCATGTCTAAAGGCTTTTTCTGTGGCATCTCTTTTCTTATTTGTTTTTAACCAATCTGTCTCTACGGAAGAGGATTAGGGCCAGTGGAAACAAAAGAAAAAGTTAACTGATTTTTACATTTTATTTCAGTTTAGTATGGGGAAAAAAGTCAGAATTCTGAGATTAAAGTCAGAATTCTGAGATTAAATTCAGAATTCTGAGAAAAAAGTCAGAATTCTGAGATTAAATTCAGAATTCCCATGTTAAACTGAAATAAAATTTAAAAATCAGTTAACTTTTTTTATTTTTCAGTGGCCCTAATCCTCTTGGGTATGTTTCAGAACTCTGACTTCGAAATAAAATCAGAAGTAACTGCTGGTTTAAATTTACTGTTATTGTGTGTTGTCTCTCCGCCGATCATTACAACGTATGCAGTGAATAACCACCGCCAATCATATCGGCTAATTTCTCAAAGTGACAGATCCAGAGCCATTACAGTTAGCAGTCCTACCTACAGGGCTCCGGACAGATCTAGCAATGTTATAATTTTTAATGTTACATCAGTATGTGGGACTGGGAGCAGCGGGAGAGAGAGTAAACACTCTGAAAACAGACAGCTGCGCTCGTCCAGAGTTTCTGTTGGCTAAATTGATTTAATTAAATCAACGAAAAAGGGGAAAAGTGTGCAAATCATTGGTGAGGACCATCCCCACCAGGCCAATGTTGGTGGGGACATGTCCAAACCAATCGTTCAAAAAGTTATGCCTATTGACTGAGGTGATCCGAAATCAAGGGAGAATCCAGAACAGAATCCAGGACCAGAGTCAAGGCACAGAAACGGGTCAGAGATCCAAACAGTACAACTAAACAGGTCCTAATGGGCCTACAATGGCAGGCTGAGAGCATCAGAGGGCAGAATCAGCTCAGGCTTTCAGGAATACTGGATTAGATTCACTGTTTGCTTGTAATAATCTGGCGCTAGTGACGGGTCTAGCAGCTGGTTATATGGTCAGGGGTGCAGCTGGATCTGATAAAGGCTGATGAATCATCTCAACTTAATGTATAAAACCATTCTTAACATTGTGTAGAATGGTTTTATACATTAAGTTGAGATTCACCAAAAAATGACTTTAGCTAGGTTTTCATAGGCAGGGTCATATATATATATATATATATATATATATATATATATGAATATTTTTTATTTCTCTTACCTCAATATGATCTGGGCATGGATGTGGAGCTCCACACCCATGCCGAGTTAAAACCCCGGGAGCAATGTCAACAGGTTCTTAATAACAATTGTCTGGCTCAATTTTCTCTCTCTCTCCCATGGGGCGAGGTACGGCTGTTGGCAGCGGCACATGATAAATTATTGATACATTAGTCACATTAGTGTTTCACTGACAAACCAAGCAATTATTTCAATAAGGGAACTAAGGAGGGAAAATTTTAAAAAGCACTGTGGAGATCGGCAGGATCCTTAGGACACCTAGGAAACCTAAACAAGCCGACGCTATCCTTAAAGAAGTAAAGTTGATACAGACGTTGGACATGAGCCATGATGGTGGCTTCCATGATGGTTTTACACTCCAGGAAAGCTTCAGGGAAACAGCGAGAGAAAGGCCTTAGACAGTGCTTTGTCCTCTACTCATTTATTTCTGCACACTTGTAAATATTGCATTGATCATCATGGTGATAATGTTTTGTTTAAAATAAAAAAAGTCATATAGTGTCATTGATACTGAAGGTGCAAATAAACAAATAAGGAGATTAAAGGCTAGGTGGGATTTGGTAGGGATCGATTCAGAGTGTTGGAGAAAAGTAAAAACCTTTAAGATAGTGGGAATTTAAGTTACATGTCTTGTTTTTATGGAATATTTTAATTTGATGTTCTGAATGCATTTTCTTAGATGTTACATGACTAAAGAAACTTCATAATTCAAAAGATAGCTTACAACTGGGTGAGCAGGATAAACGTTTCAATAATGCGCAAGTTGAAATAACTCCTGTTTAAAATCCAAGAGTGGGTGGAGGCGAGGTAGAGGGGTGTGGGACAAACTACAGAAAGGAGATGATCGGTTCAATAGTAGGGAATCGTTTTATGACAAGAGAAACAGAGATTGAAGGAAAATGAGAGTAGAAAATGTATAATAGAGATAGAAGGATGAGGCAGAACAGTAGGATGACAAAGGTAAGATAAGGAATGGTAAAAAAACATACGAGTGCTCCTGCTTTCTGAAAATCAAGATATTTGTGCTCTCTCACCCCCCCCTCTCTATCTCTATCTCTCTTTCTCTGAAAACCACACACACACACACACACATACGCCTAACACCAGAGGAGATGTTAATAACCATTGGGTCCATATGAGGCAGATGGTGTATTTAGTTAATACCCTGCTGCCCTCCAAAACTGACCCTGCCATAACCAGCAAACATGCTGGCAGCTGGGCAGGACTCCTGCAAATACGTTCCAAGGTGTTGAATACCAAAGCAAGCCGTGACCACGGCGACCAGCCAGGCAAATGATTTTCTTTTTTCTTTTGCTCCTACCAGGTGTGTATTCCATGTCAGTGTCAGAGGACAAGGTGCCGGGAGAGGAGGTTGGCCGCCTTAAGGCCAAAGACCCTGATCTTGAAGACAACGGACTTGTTAACTACCGCCTCATCGATGGAGATGGAATGAGCATGTTTGAACTGTCAACCGACTCAGAGACCCGAGAGGCTGTAATCAAAATCAAGAAGGTAAGAGATGATGGGGAGAGAAATGTACAGAACATTCTAGATTTGTTTAAACAGAAAACCAGCCAGACAGGTTGGTAGACTTCGGGAAAAAAATGTAGAATTACAAATTTTGGTGTGTGGGGGGGAATATTTACTCTAAGGCTTTATTTCATAGCCTAGGTTATACATTCATCTATCCCTATCAAACCATACATTTATATATTAGTTCCCCATCAATTCATCTTTTTTCATTTAAACCGTAAAAACTGTCCAAAAAGGGCTAAAAGCTCTGGAAATATGAATATCGAATTTCTAAACCTCTAGCTTAGCTTGCTTACCAGAAATTTTTGTAACATTTGTTTATGTTTTACATTTCTGCTGACATTTTGCTGCATACACTAGTAAAATCAATTAAAATATTTGTAATTGCTCGTTTAGAAAGCCCAATATAGAAGCTGTGCTTATATTAAAGAAAATTGAATTGTGTTGATGCATGTTGATGAACATCAGGATGAAAACAAGATGCATGTAAAACCACTTGATTCTATCCAAAGGTTAATTTCAATCAGGGTTGAGTGAAATTAATGTAAACATGTTAAATAAACAGCGATTACATCTGGATAGGATTTAAAACTCACTGAGTTTATTTATACTTTTATTTTAATAAAGAATACATTTTGTTATATTGAGTATCTATTATATATTATGCTACAAACTATAGGAAGTTCTAACAACGTTTGTGGTCTCTGAAGGTTTGGGAAAATCTTTAGCTGAATTTAATTCCAGTAACCACACAACCTTATGCATAACTGATCCATTTTCAGTTCTGTGCTGAAGCAGGCTTAGAGGTAAGGGCTCTCCTTCCAGCCTCGACACCTGTAGTGTGCATGACAATGAGTTAGTGATAATAGTGAATAATGCTCCTTTCTCCTCTATCAAAACTGTAATTAATCTGCCCCAGAGCAATACAGGTAACTCATAAATAAGGCATAAGTTAACAGTAGTAGGCTGTGGCTGAGCTTTGCATTTTAAAAATTCACATAACTTCAATTTCCTTGTACTTGCACAAAAAAAGAGTTGAAAACATTTAAATTAAACTTAAACTCCTGTTTTAAAGATTCACCCATTCACAAGCAAAGAGCTGAGGTAGGCTTTGGTCATTCTGACTGGCTTAGGATCTGCAATGTCCAGGTGTTCAGCATCCCTTGAACACAGACTGAGGAAAGAGATGCAGGAGCAGAGCTTGATTCAGTTGCATCCTTTCTAAAGAAAAATTGTGTCAATTTATTGCAAATTAAATTTTTTTTTTTGCAAATTGCTTGAAAATGTTTTTTTTTTTTTTTTTCTGTTTTTTGCTTCATAGGTAACAAGTTCCAGGCTATCATTGATGTTTTCAGATATCTAATCTGCTTAACTATTTTTCTATTATAACAAAAACATAATCCGCTTTACATAATTATTCTCTTTTGCCAAACATCACGCACCGACATGTCATGTTTCAGATGAATATGTTTTTAATATTCATTAATTAATATGAAGTTTTGAATATTTCTCTTAAAGTTCTGATTACAGGAGTTATTCAAATTACCTGACATTTCAGATAAAAAAAGTACCAGCATAATTATGTTTTTGGCAAAGTAACTATAATTTGTTAATTTTTCTAAGTAACACCCCTAAGACACCCCTACGCCGTCCCCTGTAGACTTTGCCTGTAAATCAGACGTTTTGATGCCCAGAAAACATTTGGTGTGAACACACCATAAGTTAAATATTTTAGCCTTAGCCTACTAAATGTCTCCGGTGGGTAGATTCAGTCTAGTGAAGCTTCATTTAATGTAGAATAACTTGTAGCTTAACTCAATATATTTTCTAAGTAGCTTGCCAAGCACTGTTTATTTGTTCTCATTTTGGTCTCATACAGCTGATTAGCGCTCAGTCTGAGTTGGTTCCTGTGGAAATTGACCCAGTGAACTTAACTTGTTCGGACCAGGTTTAGAGCCAACTCAGCTCAGCTCAAAATATGTTTCTTCTCTGTTAAATCCACTACCAGCGCACACAGTAAGTAACAAAAAGCGTAATAGCGCCATCTTTTAAATTAATTTATTGAATTGTAATTCAATAATTACATTTATTTCATGCAATGAAAATTATACAAAATTATTTATTTGAACTCAAACAAGTATACTGTATAATCTAAATTGAAAATCTTATACACAAAATATCGTATAAGTATTTTCTCTTTTGGAGGGATAACACATCATCCTATTTCTATATGGATCAAAAAGATCATTTTATCTAACCTGACACATATCAGCATATGTAACCGGATCCTTCCTGCATTGTGCTGGTTTTATTAATTGATCAGGCCATGACAGTTTTTCTTTAAAAGGACGGTTTCTCAATTTATTGTACCTGATGAGAACAATACACAAGAAAACAATCGTGTTAAAGCTACAGTGTGTAATTTTCAGCGACATCTAGCGGTCAGACTGCAGACCGCAGCAACATGAACATCTCCCCCCCACCGCTTCTCCCCCCCAACAGTACGGCGAGCGTTACGGGACAAAATTTCTTCCACGACGTCCACATCACCTACCTTCTCAAGTGATGAGGTTTGTTTACATAGATAATTTTACAGATAGTATTTCATTAGTCTGAGTAGGGTATAGATTTCATGTAGACTTAAGATAATAAATATACCCGTTATTTTTTCTACGTCGTTGTGACGTTTTGGTGAGCTGCTTTGCATGGTGATATAAACAGACGAAGTAATTGTAGTCATTAGTTTAACAGCGAGATTGTGTTCGCTGGAAGAATATATATTCCCCGTTTACAGAGTCTAAGTCATTTTGGTGGCACGGGGGTTACAAGGCGAGGAAGAGGGAGAGGACGAGGGCGAGGGCAGGGAGGCCGTGCAGCTAGGGCCAGGCGAGAGAGGGGAGCCAGCGGGGTGAGAGCAGAGGAGGAAAGGCTTGAAGATCTCCAAAGGAGCCGGAGAGAAGTAACCGAGGTATATATCCAGAAAATTATTTTACAGAAAATTACTGAATCATTACCTGTGAAACATCAGGGACGTTGCTGAATAAGTATACTGGAGAGTAACAGCATCATCACGCAGCATGTTATTGTTTTAGACAGGTCTGAGCATCCTGTACTCCAAAAACTGCAGTGATATTAGACAATTGTGTGTGTAGGATTAATTACCTGTCCAAGAGAAAACTGGCAACTTGAGCGTCACTTTGAAAACCTTTTTCCTCCATCAGTGACTTCCATCGTGTAAATGCCGTGCCAATGTTGATCCGTGTTTTTTGCCGTTTCTTGTCACGCTTGCGTTTATTCTCGTCGTGTTTCCGCTTCTTAGATGACGGGGGTTCGGTGTCCGCCGCTTTTCGTTGTGATACAGAGTAGGCATGATCCTCCATTCGTCTGATGTTTGGCCACACAGTGCCAAACAGTTTGCAAAGTCACTCACGCCTGCCGCCTTGTTCACCTTTCTTGTTACTGAGGCGCAGTATACCTGCTTCTTCTTCTTTGGTTTCAGGCAGACTAAACGCTTCTCAGGCATAATACTGCCATCTACTGTTCAGTACCGTCTCAGTTCATCTCTCTCAACTTGCCGTAGTTATTTTTGAGCGTCATGGGAGATCTCGCAATCGCTAGTTTGTTGCCTCTGCGCTTGCCGTAGCGCAAAGATGTCAGCCTCCATGGCTGCGAGACCCGCTCCTATGTAATTATAAATAACGAATTCTAAGGCAACGCAAATATTATGGTTAAAAGGCTGAGCTCATAGGTGATGATAAATAACATAGTTATGTATAATATATTAAATTTCTGACTTTATATCCCTGTAATTATTACACACTGTAGCTTTAAAGGCTGCCTACACAAAACAGAAGTACATAACAAAAATTAACTTAATAGATCTATAAATAAACTGAATGTATTCAGATGAAAAATAAATAGCACACACCCCTCACAGGAAAACATGACAAAAGGGGAGGGTCTAAGGGGTGTGAACAATTTAAAGCCAATACCACAAAAGAAGAAGAAATAAAAAGAAGGGGCTTCCACTCTTAAAGTCAAACAGTTTAAATAATGACATATTTTCTAGAGGTGTTTCAGTCTGGTGTGTAACAATACAAATAACCATATAAAAACATTTTGTGTAATTATAACAAAAGAGAAATACAACCAGGTTACACATAGGGATACCAATTTCTGAAGAATGACTAATTTATTGAATTTCAGGAAGTTGGCCTCTTCTCTCCCACAGAAAAACTCCAATCATGCTCTTTCTGTTCCCCTGATACTTTGCGCAGTCCTACGTGTTATCGTCAATTCAAAATAGCCCTTAAAACAATTTATTTTAAAAGTTAAACTTAAAATAAAACGGCAGGTTTAACTGTAAGCAGGTGCAGTAAATTATTTTTTCGGTAGGAAAATGCGTAGACATTGCGTTAGTATCATTTAATTCTTTTTTGACTAATTATTCGCAATTGACATACATCACATCTAGCTCTTTTAGGCAATAGTTTGCAAATAAAACACGAGCATGGTTTAAGACCCTCAAGATTAGAATGGAAGGACTTTGGGATTCATTCATTCCCTCTAGTCTTTGCTACAGACAAAATAGGCCGTTATTCTGTGAACATGTTTATTCCTGTGAGTGTCTTCTTAGCCTCTTTCTCTCTGGTTTACACATGTTTTCAAACATGGATTGACCCACTTACAACCAGCATTTCCCACTGGCAGAAATCTGGCTCAAATCTCAGGCTCTGTCTCACCACGGCTGCATGTCTGGTGGCACCATAAAGCAGGGTTAGCACTGATGATGTCACCATTGGACAGAAATCAGGAAAGTAAACAATGGAGAGCAACATGGAAGGAAGCTAGGGTATAGTAAGTGCGCTTTATTGTTTCGCTCTATCATCTTTCCTAATCCCTCTTACTAGTGCTGTGCCATGTTTATCAAATATTGTTAAATCAGACGTGGCTTGGGCGGTGTGTTGACATCCGTACAT